ACAGCTACCGCAGCACCCCAGATCCTGGGCGAGGAACCAACATTCCAGGCCTGCCCCAGCCGGCTGGGAACCAGAAGCCCATTGTGCGCCCAGCCCAGAACCCCCAGTGGACCCATCACCCACGCTGTTCTGCGGCTGCCCAGCCCCTGAGCTCCCACTGGGTCTCAGAGCTGTCCCTCCCGCTGCCCAGAGAGGGAGACAAACAGAGGCCTCGAGGACACCCAGGCCTCACATGGCTGGCGCAGGAGCCTGAACAGATGCTGGAACCCCATAAAGAATGCCTGGGATGTAAACATCTACAAAGTCCAGGACTGACGCTCAACTTGCGAAAATCTTCTTTACCATAGGTCCAAGCATCTGCCAATCATCGCCCCAACCACGCACAGTCAGTGCCGCCCACCTCTCACCTCCTGGCTGGACACAGCCAGGGCGGTGCGGATGGGAAAGCCACAGTCCCGATCTGGGCCCATTTGCAACGGCAGTGGTGATTTTCACATTTGCAAACAGGTGGAAAGAAAAGACACGAAAGCACAGTGTTTTGCAACAGGTGGAAATGACAGGAAAGGGGAGGGCAGGGGGACGCAGCCAGGTTATGCGCTCACGGAAACCCTGGGTGCCTCTATGGAGGCTCCACAAGGCGGGCACACTCCCTGCCTTCGAGCCCACTCCACTGGGGTGGAAAGGGGAAGGGAGGCATGGCGGCCTTCTGCCTGCGCCCCCGCAGGACTCTGCCATGGGCTCTGCAGCAGCAGCCGGCCTTGCTGTCCCCCGAGAAGCACGGTGAGCCAGGCTGGGAGCAGGCGACCCCTTCCAGGCCTTCTCTGCTCCACCCCAGGAAACCACTGCCTACCAGAAACAGCCTACGGCACTGATTTATTTTATTTTAATTAACTGTTTTTTTGAGACGGAGTTTCGCTCCTCTCCCAGGCTCGCCCAGCCTGGAATGCAATGGCCCAATCCTGGCTCACCACAACCTCTGCCTCCCAGGTTGAAGCGATTCTCCTGCCTCAGTTTCCCGAGTAGCTGGGACTACAGGCGCCCACCACCACGCCTGGCTAATTTTTGTATTTTTAGTAGAGACAGAGTTTCGCCATGCTGGCCAGGCTGGTCTTGAACTCCTGACCTCAGATGAAGTAGCTAGGAGTACAGGCACGCTGATTTTTGCATTTTTAGTAGAGACGGGGTTTCACCGTGTTGGCCAGGCTAGTCTCAAACTCCTGACTTTGTGATCTACCTGCCTCGGCCTCCCAAACTGCTGGGATTACAGACATAAGCCACCATGCCCGGCCCCGGCGCTTTTTTTTTTTTTTTTTGAGATGGAATTTCACTCTTGTTGCCCAGGCTGCAGTGCAATGACATGATCTTGGCTCACCACAACCTCTGCTTCCTGGGTTCAAGTGATTCTCCTGCCTCAGCCTCCTGAGTAGCTGGGATTACAGGTGTGCGCCACCACGCTCAGCTAATTTTGTATTTTTAGTAGAGACAAGGTTTCTTCATGTTGGTCAGGCTAACTCCTGACCTCAGAAGATCCACCCGCCTTGGCCTCCCAAAGTTCTGGGATGACAGGCGTAAGCCACCGCACCTGGCCAATTTTTTTTTTTTTTTTTTTGAGACAGAGCCTCACTCTGTTGCCCAGGCTGGAGTGCAGTGGCGTGATCTCAGCTTACAGCAATCTCCGGCTCCCGGGTTCAAGCGAGTCTTCTGCCTCAGCTTCCCAAGTAGCTGGGACTACAGGCGCCCGCCACCACTCCTGGCTAATTTTTGTATTTTAGTAGAGATGGAGTTTCGCCATGTTGGCCAGGCTGGTCTTGACCTCCTGACCTCAGATGATCCGCTCACCTCGGCCTCCTAAAGTGCTGGGATTACAGGCGTGAGCCACCGCATCCAGCTAATTTTTGTATTTTTAGTAGAGACCGGGTTTCACCATGTTGGCCAGGCTGGTCTCAAACTGCTGACCTTGTGATCTGCCCTCCTCAGCCTCCCAAAGTGCTGGGAGTACAGGCGTGAGCCACCATGCCCAGCCCTCTTTTTAACTTATTGATGCTTTTTGGAACTTTCCTGTTTCTAACAAGATTACACTTTTTACCGGTGAGAGGGGGACAAGGCACGGAGTCCAGGGCTGCCTTTCTGGGAAGGAAGGGAAGGGACAGGACTCATGCTGGCTCCATCTGCCCCAACCCACCCCCCTTGGTGATTGCCCACGCTTTCCACACCACCTGGAGGACCGGATGCCTGAGGCTTGTCTGGAAGGTTCCAGACACTCGCTGCGAGACACAATCTGAGCGGAGTTTATTAAGCTTCCCACACACAAAGGAGGCTTTTTCCCTGCAGCGCTGGCAGCAAGGCTGGCCAAGGCCTTGGGCCTCAGGGCTGGGCAGTGGACACCCCTTCTGCTTGACGGCACTCTGCACGTGGCAGCCTCCGGTCAGGACACACCAGCTCCCAGAGTAGGGGGACCCCCTGGCAGCACCCAGGGGGCTGGAGGAGTGGCAGTGGCTCCTAAATCACAGCTGCAAACCGGGCGGCTCCTGATGGCAGACGGTCCCTGCAGACGGTGGCCAGGAAGGGACAGGGCTCACCCCTCAGCCCAGGGGGCCTCACAAGGGCAAAGCCGTTGCACTCAGGGCCAGGATGAAATTGGACGCTGAACAGGAGGGTGCATCACTCACTTCAAGGCCGGTGGGGTCATAAGTTGTGGGGAGCTGCACCGCACAGTCCAGTCCAGGTCCTGCCAACTCCTCTGCCTCCCTGCCTCAGTGTTCCCTCCTGTTCTCCCATGCACTGGGCGAGACTGGGTTCCTGCAACCCTCTGGCCTGTCTCCACCAAGACCCTCAGGCTCCGCCCTACCATTCAGGTGCTCACCTGAGCTCCTGGGACCTCCTGCACTGACTGTTCAGGAAAGCAGGGGGCTCGCACTCACAGTTAGGCTTCCTCCCCACAGCATCTGTCTTCCCTTTGACCTTGCATATACGTTTGTCAAAACTCAAACCAGACTTTTTTTTTTTTTTTTTTTTTTTTGAGACAGACTCTCGCTCTGTCTCCTGGGCTGGAATGCAATGGTGGGATCTCTGGTCACTGCAAGCTCCACCTCCCAGGTTCCAGCAATTTTTCTGGCTCAGCCTCCTGAGTAGCTGGGATTACAGGCATGCACCACCACACCCGGCTAACTTCTGTATTTTTAGCAGAGACAGGGTTTCACCACGTTGGCTAGGCTGGTCTCAAACTCCTACCTCAGGTGATCTGCCCACCTCAGCCTCCCGAAGTGCTGGGATTACAGGTGTGAGCCACTGTGCCCAGCCCCTAAGGATGGGTTTCTGACTGCTAGGAGACTGGCTGTCACTGGCCCCTTTAGAGGGCACCTGCTACCCCCAGCACAGGCTCTGCCCAGCCCCTGACCAACCCATCTCACAGAGACCAGGCATGGGCAACTGCTCCAGGCACTGGCCTTCTACCCGCGTCCAGACTGGGTGCTGAGGTATCAGAAAGGCCTGGTGGAAACACGCCCCTCCCAGCCGCTCCCATTTAACCCCGACTGCTCCAGCTCCGGAGTACTAACTTCAGAGCCTGTGTCCCTGGTTTCTGCATGTCACAGCCCGCATGCTGATTAAGAAGCGTGTTGGCTAGTTGCGGTGGCTCACGCCTTTAATCCCAGCACTTTGGAAGGCTGAGGCGGGTGGATCACAAAGTCAGAAGTGCAAGACCAGCCTGGCCAAAATGGTGAAACCCTGTCTCTACTAAAAAAAAAAAAAAAAAACAAAACAAAAAAAAAATTAGCCAGGTGCAGTGGCAAGCGCCTGTAATCCCAGCTACTCGGGAGGCTGAGGCAGGAGAATCACTTGAACCCAGGGGGCGGAGTTTGCAGTGAGCCGAGATCGTGCCGTTGCACTCCAACCTGGGCAACAAGAGCGAAACTCTGGTCTCAAAAAAAAAAAAAAAAAAAAAGAAGTATGTGAGCCCCAGGGCCCCTGAGCAGGAGGGAGGTGAGAGCAGACAGGGCAGGGGCCCCTCCCCGAACCTCCTTCCAAGGTCATGGTGCCCTGTGCAGGGTGTCCCTGCCAGTCCCTCGAGGCCTAGCCCAGTAGATAAGGTCCTTTCTTGGAAACAGGAGGCAAAGTTATGAAAGTTAAGAGGGCTGGGAGAGGGGCAGGGCCTGGGCAGGGCCCGCCAGGCGACAGCAGGTGCAGCGTGTCTGGTTGCGATAAGGAAGGGACACCCCCCCTACCAGCTGGGAGAGGCTCAGGCCGGCCCGTGCTGCCCTCGGTAGGAGCTTTTCGGCGCACAGATGCAGAGGCGTCTGGGATGCCCAGCGGCAGCCCCATGCCTGAAGAAGTCAGTTTGAAAAGTAAGGTCTTCCGGATGCAATTCGGGAGGGAGGCACAGTCCTCCTCGGGCAGGGCTGCCAGCGCTGGGGGCCAGGGATGCTTCCAGCCTCACATCCCTGGCAAATGAGGAAAGGCTACGTTTCCCTCCTGCTGGCTGATAAGCCGCTGCAGTTATTTTTGGCAGCCCAGGGTTCCCCTCCGACAGGATAAACAAATCACATTTTCTCCTGGCCCCGGTAACCGCCACACATTGCGCAGAAAGCCTGCTGGCGGCCGCACACAAACTCTCGGCGCCCAAATAAACACAGGCTCATTCCACTGGGCGCCTCTGCTCCTTGGACAGCTGGGGGAGCCACGGGGCTAGACTTAGGGGATTGGGGGCCGCTCCCTTCTCAGGAGGGTTTCGCTACCAGGGCGTCCAAGCAGAAGAGCCCAAGCAAACACACGCCCCGCTACGACAACTGGCTCTGCCTGAGTTAAAGTCCGTAACACAGGCCTCCGACCAAGCTCTCCCTGGCACGGAGGACACAGGCGCCGGCCGGGTTCAGCTCTGGGTGTTAAGAGGAAGTAAGGGAGGGAGGGAGGAGAGAAGGAAGGAAGACAGAACCATCCGCACAGTGACTGGCCTGCCCGGCCCGGCCCCGGCCCCGGCCCCGGCCCCAGCAAGCCGTACTTACTTCTTCACGTTGGCCTCCCCGTTGGGGATCCTTCGTAACTTCTTCTTCTTGAGGATCTTGACGGCCCTCCTGCACAGCGTCTCCGAGTCCAGCACCTCCTTCACCTTGCCGTAAGAGCCTTCCCCCAGCAGGTCCCCCATCAGGTACTTGCCGATGAGCTTGGCCCGCTTGCGGCGCGGCTGGTAGATGACCTCGGTGGAGTCGATGCGGTGGATGAATGTGTCCATGCCCACCGACATCAGCTCGCCCTCCGTGAACATGCCCAGCTGCTGCGGGTCCACCACCTCCATGCTGGACCCAGGGTCCTGGAGTCCCGCCGCCAGCCCTGAGTCCGCGGGTGAGCGGTCCTTGTGTTCCGACTTCCCTTCTCCAAAATTTTACAAAGAAAAAAGAAAGAAAAAAAGGCAACAAAAACCCCAAAAGGAAGGGAAAAACCCTTCTTCCAACAGAAACGATTGTCCTACACGTCAGTCCCGGCTGCGAGTCCGAGCCCGGTGCAGGGTCTGCAGACCCGCGGGCACCGGGCGTCCGGGACGGCGGCTCAGACGCGAGTTGCAGTGGGACCCGGGCCTCGGAACTGGGGAACGGCCCGGTCGGGGTCAACTTTGTCCTCGGAGGCCCTGGGTAGGCCGGCCGGGGCTTCTCAGTGCTAGGTCATCCTCCGGGGACCTCAGGCCCACGGACAAGCGTGAACACGGCCAAGCGCGGTCTTCTCCGGGCCGCCCATCCCACAGGCGGGGTCCGCGACGTCGCTGCCCCCCGGGACTCCCACACCTGGAGAGCCCAACTTCGCTGGGGGTGTCTCCGGCGACGCGCGGGTCCCGCCGCCTGTCCCAGCCGCAAACGCTCCGCCGCGGACTACCGAGAGGACCTCCCGGGGGGCGCCGACTCCCGACGGCCCGGGCGAGCGTTCGGGGGGGTGGGGGCGTCCGGGCAGCCTCCCGCCGCGGCCAACAGCTCCGCTCAGGGCTGGTCGCTGCCCGGCGCCCGCGAGGGCCCGCACTGGGCACCCCCCGAGCCGACTCGCGACCCCCGCGGTGGTCGCCGGGGCCAAGCAGGCGCCCCCTCCCCGCAAACGTCTGCCCGAGCGCGCGCCCCACCCCGAGTGCCCTCAGCGTCCGGTCCGCGGGACGGCGCGGCGGCGGGGGCTCCACGGGGCCCCGGGCGGCTGAAGCGGCACAGGCCGCAGGCTCCGGGGCGGGGGGTTCCCGAAGGTGCCGGGCCCCGGGCGGCGCGTCCCCCTCGCCGCGGCCGCCGCGCGTGTGGAGGAGGCGGAGCGGCGAGGGGGGCCCAGCCCATCCAAGGCCGCGACAGCAAGTTCCGCCGCCCGCGCTCCCTTCGCCGCCCCGCGCCTCACTCGCGGGCGCTCCGGGCCGCCTCCCCCTTCCGCGCCCGACACGCCGCCGCCATCTTGTTTACCTCCCTCCCCCTCCCTGCGCCGCCGCGGACGCCGCACGCCCGGCCGCAGGACACGCCTCCTCGCGGGGACGACGTGTCCACCCGTTGGCTGAACCTGCAATCCCCGCCCCCCCTGCCCGCCCCACCGCCGCTGAGGATTGGAGCGTTTGGACCCGGCCGGGCGCCCGAACGGGGATTGGTCCGCGCTTGGCCCCGCCCGAGGGGTGGATACGGCCCGCTCATTGGCCCGCGGAGACGCCCGTCAGGGGCAGGGGGCGGGAAGCAGGCATAGGGAGGGGAGGCCACGGCTGCGACCTCAGAGGGGGCTGCGGACGGGGGTCGTAGGTTACCGGTGCCAACGGCCTCGCTGAACGGCCGCGGGGAGGGCTCAGCCTGGTGGGCGAGAACTTGGGCTCGCGGACCTGGAAGGAGCGGGGCCACCCCAGCCAGAGCCCCTCCCCCGGATCCCCCTTTGGGGGGAGGTCAAGGGTCAAAAAGTAACCCAAAGTGGCCAATTCCAGTCAAAAATCCTTGTTTTAAGGCTCTCTTGGGCCAGGGGAGAGAGAAACGCTCAGGGCGGCCTCTACCCTGTCGGAACTCATGGGGGAAGCCTCAGGACAGCGCTGGGACGAGCCCAGCGGGGGCTTCCGGTGAAAAACAAGAGTTGCCAAAATATGGCTTGATAAGGTTGAAAATATTGAACCCTCCTGTGCTAGCCCCGTGCTTTCCACCTTTTCCTGCACTAGCGCCACGTTGTTTTGCTGAAACAAATTATCTTGCTGCAACCTCCGCCTCCTAGGTTCAAGCGATTCTCCTGCCTCGGCTTCCCGAGTAGCTGAGATTACAGGCGTGCGCCATCATGCCCGGCTAATTTTTGTATTTTGAGTAGAGATTACAGATGCACGTCTGTAATCCCAACTACTCAGGAGGCTGAGGAAGGAGAATCCCTTGAACCTGGGAGGCGGAGGTTGCGGTGAGCCAAGATCATGCCATTGCACTACAGCCTGGGCAACAAGAGGGAAACTCCGTCTCGGAAAAAAAAAAAAAAAAAATCTCTCCCAGAAAACAGAAGATGAGTAAACACTCCCCAGCCCAAACTTATTTTGATATCTGTTTTCTGGACTGATAGCTGGCTCATACTCAAACTTCTTGGAATCTGGGGATATGCTGGATAACTGTGGCATCCGTAGGTCCCACGCCCCTTCAGAGAATTGCAGGACACATGGAACTGACTCAGGAAATACTTGGTGACCATTATAGAAAGAAGCCTTGAAGATGAATTCTCAGCTCAAAAGCCACCTCCTCCAAGAACCCCTCCTAGTGATTCTCTGAAGTGCCTGGAGGGAGATGTGCTGTGTAAACTACACACGGAATTTCTTTTTTTTTTTTTTGATATACATAATTTTATTACAAAATTTTTTAAAATGCAGCATCCTAAAAAACAAAAAAATTTACTATTGATACTAATTCCTA